AATTCTTGAAAATATATTAAAAAAATAGTATAAAACTATAACTTCAACTTAAAATAAATAATAAATTCATTTAAGCTGCAAAATAATACATAATATTAAATATCAATTTACGTCTTCTTTTTAGTTTATTGACTGTAACTCATGATAACAACTTATAATTTCTATTTGTTCATTTAGTAATGTTAAAATAAAATTCAAATGAAGTTTTTGCTGTATTTTTAACATATTATTAATTTATTAGAATATATTTTATATTTTTCCAATTTTAGTTTAAGCCATTGTTTTGCAAATTTATAAATAGTTTATACAGAGAACAATAAGAAGAATATAATAGGTCTCACGAAATGTATGGATAATAAAAAAATAATTTTGAAATGAATAGTAAAAAATTTTAATTGAATACCATTTATAAATTTATATCAAATCGGAGGCTAAGAAAATAAATATAAATTTGTCAAATTTTCGATTTAGGTCCTCAAGGTTCAAGTTTCAACTATTTTGGTCCATTAAGTTCCAATTAAAATAAAAAAGGTCATTCAGTGACCATTACTGAAACCGGATGATACTTCAGTGACCGTTAGTGCAAATTTTAAACTTCAATAACCGTTTTTTGATTTTGACGTAATTTCAGTGACCGTTTGTGATTTTGACGTAACTTCAATTGCATTATTACTGTTTCATTTCTCTAAGTGCCTAAATATTTAAAGTAAGCACTTTCTCATTTACACAAACTAAGTCATCTCAAAACGTTCACCAGATTGAATCAATAAATTTGAAATTTCTAAGTTTCACATACGTTTATTCTCCTATATTATTAGTTATCTACATATTGCTTGATTACATTTAAAAATTAAGCTATTTTCACCAATGGCTACTAAAATTTGTAAGAAATTTCAAATTGGTCATTAAAAAAGATTTATTACTTTATTATAATGGTTAGTCACTAATTTATAAATCAAACATGTTATCCGACATTAGACGATAAGGTTCCACTAAGTCGACAATCGTTTTGTGGATTATTTAGATAAAAATATGTGCAAGATTCCTTCCCAAGAACATATTTTCACCATTTTTTTCCTACTATATATCGAAAGTCGATTAGTGTTTTAAATGACAGATGGATTTGCAATTTTTCTCCAATGATCATTGTATTAATATATTAAATGGGTTTGGTTTGCTTCCCAATGGTTACCGTTCGAATCCCCTCAAAATCATTGAGGTGAGTATCCGATCGTAAATTTTAGGGCCCCATAAAATTTGNTATATATATATATATATATATTAAATGGGTCTTTAACTTAATTTTTCTTCATTTAATCCATTGTGACACGAGTCAGATTTTACGCAAGTTTTTTTTATCGATAATTAATTATTATAAACTTCAACAGATAATAAAATAAGAAAATTACTTTAATACCCAATTTAAAATTTCTTACAAACTTCAAAAATCATAAATATAGACTGGTGGTCAGTGATTTTTTTGCACAGATTTGGAAAAAAGAACAACAAAAAATGAAAAAATTATCAAATCTTTTCCACCGACGAAGTTGGAAAAATGTCACCGCTTTTTTTTTTTTTTTTCCGCTGTGGACAAACAAAAATACATGGAAAATGACTCCTTCAGCAGCAAACCTTTGAATGCTTTTCCAGTTTTCTTGAGAGTGATGTCCCGCTGGAAAAAAAATTAAGCAAATTTGTCAATGTTCACACATCAATTATCTGACAAAACTGGGCCAGGAATAACTTAGCCTAAATCAACTTTGAATAAAAATTCGGATTTTCATTGGTGTGTTTGGGACACATTCTTTTGAAAAAATGTATTATTAAATAGTAGATTGATGGAGCATATGTGGTTAAAAATGAAGGAAAAGTTATTGATGTGATGGAAAATATTATTTTATTGAAAAATGTGTGGTTGAAAATGACTATAAGAATGAGAATGAAAAAAAATAATGTGTACCAAACAGGGGCTAATAGAAAAAAAAATATTAATGAAGATCAATGAAATGTATAATTCAAAAATAGAAAAAAGTTATGAATCATATAAAATGTGTATTAAAAAGTAAATAAAAATTGTTGGTCCCATAAAATAGATAGTTAAAAATGAGTTTGAAAAAAAAAATGGAAAGAATTAGGACCAAATCGAGAGAATAAAATTTCAAGAAAAGTTAGTGAGCAAGAAAGATGAGCCACTCAAAATTTAACGTTTTTTACTTTTTACACGCTTTATAACGTTGGATTGAAAGAATTTTATTGTGTTTGACCCATGCATTTTAGAATCATCTTATAAACAAAATTTTAGTATTTTTTTTTGGTCAATAATGTTTAGTCCATTAAACGTGTTTGACGTTATAAAGCGAACTTGCGGTCGCCCCAATAATGGTTAGCCTTAGAATAGTAAAATCATCAGTATTTTCTTTAGGTAAATTTATTGTGTGTTTTAGTTGGTGGGTGGGGCTATTTATCTTGATCAAATCTTAGTGGGTCTAGAAATGTTGCAAAATTAAGCATATGTACTATTTTCAGGCTATTTTCAATTTTCGAAAACACTGAATACACGTTTACTTACCTATTTTTAGAAACGAATTTCTAAAAATGAGTTTAAAATTTACAAAGAAAACGAAAAATGTCAAAAAAGTCGTTTTAGCCGTTTTCAGTTAAAACCAAGTCAAAATTTCATTTTTTTTAATTTTTGAAATAATTTTTTAAAATAACAAAAAGAACGAGTTTTCAATAATTTCAAATGGGCACTCAAAATACAAAATCCAAAAGAGAATCGCCTCTAAATTTTCTTGAAATCCCATTTGAGGTAAATTCTTGACTAAATTCCTCCAAAGATACCTGACATTTTATAAGTGTTTCACAACCTTTTATTTGTGACATTCATGTTCTTATCTCCTACACCTATGTTTGATGTAAGTTATAATTATATTTTTAATAGATTTTAATAAAAGTTTATGAAATGTGTAATTGAAAAGTTATTAACTCCCATGAATATATTGTTAGAATTAATTATTGATTTTAGATTAAAATTAAAATCAGATTTTAAATATTGTGCATGCTGACATGATGTTAAAAGGTTGTGGTCATCATTGCCACAAATGAAAAGTTTGGAATATGGACCCCACACTATGAAAGGTTGGGACCTTGGGAGGAATTTATACTAAATTCTTTTGACAAATCAAAAGCCACAGAGTATGACTTGGAATAAATCGGATTTATAGCATAATAAGTTCCCGTTTGAGCCACATTAAAAATTTTATTCTCATTCTTTTATTAATTTTCAATCACACAATTTTTAATAAAATAATAATTTTTATCATATTAATAATTTTTCTTTTTTTTCAACTATATATTACCTATCAATATATTATTTTAAAATACATTCTTTCGAAATAATGCTACTCAAACAGACGGAGATAATATATTTATAAAATTTTCGGGTGGCGATGGGGACATTGTAACTGTACCTTCTTTGAAACGTTCATTCCTCCATCATTCTGTAAATGCGAGCAAGTTTCTTGGCTACCCCCACCCCATATCTGTAGTTTGGTGTCATAATTGTAGAATTTAACTGTACAACTTTATCTCAAGGCCTCAAATTACTTTCAAGAACCAAATTTTGAAGGCATCTTTCGCTTGATAAATACCAAGTAAGCCCAAGATTTGGGGTTTTCTTGGTTTCTTGCAGGGACTTTCCTGTAGAAACTGAAGTTTATTGTTCGATTGGAGGTAGATGAGATAATTAATTGATTTTTTCTGCATACATGTTGAATCTTTAACTCAAACTAGAGTGACCCATCTGAAAATTTAGGCTTTGAAGGGTAAAATGGAGACAGAAAATGGAGATTCCAAGTCCAAGATAGAAGATTATGAAGTAATA